ACAGATATCTCATTGTGTAGCTTGTTCTTAATTACAAACAAGCAACCGACAATTACAAAAAAAAAAAAACATAGTGTGGTTTCGTATTCAGTTGTAACTACGGACAGAGTGGCCAACTTTGTTTCTTTTTCAATAAGGATATATTTCAACGTAATGCTAATGGTTGCATGAATTTCTTAAACTTGAACAGTTAGGTATAATTTTAAATACGTAGCTAGTTATAAAATTTTAATTTTGTCTCACATTAAAATGCCTTTTTTCACGAAGCTGTTAGTTCTATCGAATGAGTTAAAATCAATATTATTTAGTCTTAGCTATTATTATCAACATGTTAAAGAATGGTTAAATATATTGTTTAGAACATAACTCCTTGCAAAATTCTCAATATACACAACTGCTAAAGTAAATAAAAGACTGGTTAATTCAGGTTGTTTAAACATATCAAATACTCTGCAATATTCTATAGGTTAAATCACTAATCATGAGTTGACAGTAGTAACAAGAGTAAAACGTTCATTTCTCGAAATGAGTATAAACAGCATTTTATCTGAAAGTCAGTAATAGCAATAAAAGTAGAACTCTTGAAACTTGAGGGAAATTTACAATAGTTAAAAATTCGATTTCTGAAGATTTAGTTCTTAATAACAATACAAGTGGAAGTGTTGAAACTTGAGGGAAATGTACAGATAGTTAAACATTCGATTTCTGAATATTTAGTTGTTAATAACAACACAAGTAGAACTATTGAAACTTGACGATATATTACAATATTCAATTATTGAAGAGTTAGATGGTACAAACAATAGTTAATTACAAGTTATTAGAGGTTGAATCATTATTCAGAAAGAGTTAAAACTTTCAGTTGGAGGTTCAGCGAGTATTAGCAATAATTAAATTTCTAGTTTTTGGAGATTTAACCAATATTAACACTATTTAATTTACTTGTGATTGGAGTTTTAATTAGCATTAATAATTGGAAGTTCAATCAGTGTTAAGAAAGTTGGACTTTCAGCTGATAGAGTGAGATGCCAGTGTTAACAATAGTGACACTATTTGTAAGATATTTAATGATCAATAATGAACGTACCATTTTCTTCACATCATTATTATCAGTAGTTGAAATTCTAATTGTTAGAAACTTGGTCACTGTAAATATTTCTTATAGTTTCAGATTTTGAAGGTTTACTTAGAATTAATGAAATTTAAATTATCTATTTTGGGAATTTTAATACTTAATAAATTACCACTTGTAAGAGTTTTAGTCAGTGTTAATAGTAGTTCAATTTTTAATTAATGGAAGTTTATTGAATATTTATTGTAATAAACTATCAGTTGTTGGGAATTTTGTTTGTGTTAACAACGATTAAGCTACCAGTTTTGCAGGTTTAGTCATTATTAAAAACCGTTAAACTTTCATTTGTTGGAAGTTTTCAATATTAACAATAATTATAGTTTCAATTGTTGGGCATTTATGCAGTGCAAATTTTACTTAAAATAGCAGTAGCACGTGATTTATAGAGTATTAACCATAGTTGACCCACCATTTACAGAATATTTAACCACTAGTAACAGAAGATAAGACTTTATTTATTGGAGGTTATATTAATTAAACTTTCAATCGTTAGAGTTTTATTTCGTATTAATAATAGTTATACAAACAATTTTAATTTTAAATGCTTAACAATATTAATAATATTTATACTACAAGTAATCTAACTATTGTTAAACGACCAATTATTGTAACTTTGATCAGTCTTAATAATAGTTTAGCTACCAGTTTTAAAAAACTAGTCAATGTAAAGAATAATTAACTCTTCAATTATGGGAGAATTAGTCAGTTATACGAATTGTTAAACCACCAGTTGACAGAGTTTAAGTATTATAAGTACTTAAACTCTCAATTTTTGAAGTTTAGTGAGTATTGATAATGATTAAATTTAAACATTATTGTGTTTGAGGTTTAATTAGTTTAACAAAAGTTAAAGTTTTTCTTCTACCCAATTGAGTCACTCTTAACTAAGTTCAGCTGCTTGTTAAATTATTCTTAATACTGTTGGTTTATCAAGAAACATTGTAAAATAACTATTCTTAAACTAGATGTTATTGAAGTTTCCGTCACTATTAACAATAATTAAACTCCCAGTTATTGGAGATTCAATCACTATTAACAATAATTAAACTCCCAGTTATTGAAGGTTCAGTCACTATCAACAATAGTTAAACTACCAGTTGTTGGAGGTTCAGTCACTATTAACAGTAGTTAAACTCCCAGTTATTGGAAGTTCAGTCACTATTAACAATAATTAAACTCCCAGTTATTGGAGGTTCAATCACTATTAACAATAGTTAAACTCCCAGTTGTTGGAGTTTCAGTCACTATTAACAGTAGTTAAACTCCCAGTTATTGGAGGTTCAATCACTATTAACAATAGTTAAACTCCCAGTTATTGGAGGTTCAGTCACTATTAACAGTAGTTAAACTCCCAGTTATTGGAGGTTCAGTCACTATTAACAATAGTTAAACTACCAGTTATTGGACGTTCAGTCACTACTAACTATAGTTAAACTATCAGTTATTTGAGGTTCAGTCATTATTAACAATAGTTAAACCACCTGTTTTTGGATGTTTGACCGTTACTATCAAAATTTAAACTATCAGTTATTTGAGGTTCAGTCATTATTAACAATAGTTAAACCACCTGTTTTTGGATGTTTAACCGTTACTATCAAAATTTAAACTTTCAGTTGTAGGCGATTCAGTTATTTTTAACAAAAGTGAAACTACTGGTTATCGTAGCTTACGTCAGTATTAAATACAGTTACTTTACTGATTGGTTGACTTTAGTTGGTATTAATCATTAAAATAACAATTGTTTTTAAGTCAGTTAGATTTAAACAGTTAGACAACACAGATATTGAGTTTTTGAGGACCTATTGATAATTAGGCCTAAAGTTTGTGTCTAATGCTTTCTCTGCATCGCCAGC